GGAATAAGGACAATATTGGTAGTATATCTTCTAAAATGAGAAGAATTTTGGCATAGATTAGAAGGAATTGACAATAACAGAAACCATAGAGATAGTTACTTTCTAAGGAAGCTTGAAAAGTCCTTCTGGGAAGATTATAATCAGGTTCTCATGCAAAAAGAGCTTATTTGGTTCTAGAAATCTAGATGTAAGTAGTTAAAATAGGGAGACTAGAACACCAAGTTCTTTCATGCTACTTCTATTATTAGGAAAAAAAAGGAATCGGATTCTATCTCTTAAAGAAAATGATGATACTTGGGTAGAGGATCAATTCATTCTTGAAAATCTAACTGTTTCCTTCTTTAAAGACCTCTTCAAAGAGGAAGATAGTGTTAAACCCAAACTTATAACCGAAAGAAGTTTTCTTATTCTCTCTAACCATCAACTCCAATCTTTATACAAAGATATGACTGATGATGAAATCAAGAAAGCTGCTTTTAATGTTAGGGCTTTCAAAGCTCTTGGTCCTGATAGTATCAATGTGGGTTTCATTCATTCTTGTTGGGATGATCTTAAACATAGCATCATAAATCTTGTAAAAAAAATTTTTAGGGACCTAGCCTTTATCAAGGACATAAATGATACTTTCATCACTCTAGTTCCTAAGATTGACCACCCTACTTGCATGAAAGATTTTCATCCTATATCTCTTTATAACATGAACTATAAAATTATCACTAAAATCATCTCCAATTGCCTCTATGCTTGTATGCCTCATCTTATTAATGATAATTAATGTAGCTTCATTCAAGGTAGGCAAAGTAGTGATAATATCATAATTGTACAAGAGATCATTCACTTTATGAGAGATAGAACAAGCAAAAAAAGATTAATGGCCCTAAAGATTGACCTTGTGAAGGCTTTTGATAGAATGTCCTAGGATTTTATTGATGATACACTCTAAGTTGTTGGGATAGATCTTCATCTTAGAAAACTAATTTGTGTTGCCATCTCAACTATAAAAATGAAAGTTCTCTAGAATGATAAACGCACTAAAGAATTCAAACCCTGTAGAGGCATTCATCAAGGGGATCCTCTCTTTTCTTATATCTTTGTTCTTTATATTGAACGTTTAAGTCATTGCATTCTTAATATTATTGATAATAATGAATGAAAATCAATTAAGCTAATTCCTAATGGCCCCTTATATCTCATTTATTTTTTGCTAATTATTTTTTGCTTTTTACATAACTATCTTTATCCCAAGCAATGATTATCCAATAATGCCTTTCCAATTTTTGCAGCACCTTGGGTTAAAAAATTAATACTGAAAAATCTAAGCTCTTTTATTCCAAGAATGTCAATATCAACAAAGCTTTTTAGATCAGTGAAGAGTTAGGAATCCTTATTACTAGAAATTTAAGGAAATACCTTAGATTTCCTCTTATCTATGAAAAGGCTTCTAAACTCACTTTTGCTCCCTTTATTGATAAAACAAACTCACGCTTAGCTAACTGGAGAAGCTGTTATCTTAATATTGCAGGAAAATCTGTGCTCATTAAATCTCTCTCTACTCTTCCTACCTATACTATGCAAACTATGCTTTTACTGGACAATGTCTTGCTCAATCTAGAAAAAATAGCCAAAACTTTTCTTTGGGATTCACCATATAGGAACAAAAAACCTCATCTTCTATCTTAGGATTGCATTACTTCTAATAAAAAAGATGGAGGTTTTGGCATCAAAAATCTCAAGAATTACAACATTACTTACATTATGAAGCTTTGCTAGGGTCTCACCACTAAATCAAATTGTCTGTGGGTGCGTGTATTGCGAGATAAATATAAATGCAATAAACCCACTATACCTATAGTTGTTAAACCTAGTTCTTGTTCTTACATATGGAATAGCATTTGTAAATTCTGGGATAAGTTTATGACTTATGTTAGTTTGAAAGTGGGTAGAGGCGACCAAATATTGTTCTCGTATGATAAATGGTCCCCTCTCCCTGACTTTCTCATTAATTATGCTTTCCATAATGCCAACTCCATTTTTCATGCTAAAGTCTCAAATTTTCGCAATACCACAGGTAGTTGGAATTTTGATCTTTTAAAACACTACCTCCATTTTGATATCATTAGACAAATAGCTGTTGTGCAACTTCCTAACCATCAAATTTAGGAAGATGTTCTTGTTTCGAGGCCCTTCTCTAATGACAACTTCTCTATTAAATTTGCTTACACAACTATTGATTCCAGGAAAGATTAAAATCACTTTGATATTTAGTCTAAGATATAGAAATGGCCCACCTATGAAAATATTAAATCTTATCTCTGGAAAGCTGTATGGGACCATCTTCAAACTAACTACATGTACACAAATGGCAATATTCCACAACCACGATCCTACCCCATGGGTTGTAACTTCATTGACTTTTCCATCCATATTTTGCATGATTGCAAGGAAGCTAAAGAGGTATGAAAAAAGTTAGTGAATCCTACAATACTTAATACTTTTTCATCTCTTAATGTGCACGATTGCATAATTTAGAATGTCAAGAACGAGGCAGGCAGTTTGACTGCAAGGAAAATTCCTTGGAAGAGACTTTTTGCTCAAGCATGTTGGAATATATGGAAAGCTAAATGCAAGAAGATTTATTCTGAAGATAATATTCTAAAGCAACATTGCCTTTTCCTGTACTCAACAAATTATCAATGATCTTAAGTTTCAATCTAAGGTCAACCACTTGAACAAGAAAGGCAATAGACACGAAGCTAAATGGAGCCCTTCTGAACCCAGTTAGGTTAGACTTGACATCGATGGCTTAGTCAATACTAATAGCATTGCTGCCTGTGGGGGCATTATTAGAGATGATAAAGGAAATTGAATTAAAGGATTTGTCAAAAACCTTAGATACTATCCAAGCATTACAGCTGAACTCTAACTTCTGGAAGGCCTCAAACTTTGTTAGAATGAGAATCTTCCTAAGATCAACATCCACTCTAATTCTTTAGAGGCTTTATTACTCATCAATAATATCTGCTATGATAATCACCCTCTCTTTATGATTATAAAAAATATTAGGGACCTTATTATGAGAAACTGGGTGGTCACTTTTAATTATGTCTATAGGGAAGCCAACAAATGTGTTGATCTTCTTGCTCATATGACGCCTTATCATAACTTTGATATCTGTATTTTTGATAACCCACCCCTCGAATGTAATAGCCTCATGGCTATAAATATGACAAGATGTTAGTCTCTTACACAGGTTTCCCGTGGCCTTATATTCAAAAAAAATCAGAAACCTATTGCATATTTGATCATCATGGTTGACTCCCGCTAGCAATGAGAACTTCAGCAACAAGTTCATCACACACTCATTGTCCTTCAGCCTTATTTCTTATAAGATAACATTCAGAATGATCGGCACAATGACTCAACCAACCCTGGGATGGTTTTGATCCAATGTAGGCCTCCATGGCATCGTCGTACGAAGCACTAAATCTTCCTTCTGGTCATCCAAAGCTAGCATGGTTGATTGGGTTTTTAGTGATTTACAAAATTTTGAGAGGCAATCAAAGGCCACGGAGGTTGGATGTGGGATTCAATGGGAATATGGTAGCGTGGTTTTTAGATTTTTAACCTGCGCATTTTAGTCAATTTGCATAATATTTAAATTACAACTAAGGACCTAGGCACTGCAGACATTTTAGTCATCCATCATCAATTATGCAAGAGGGGATATGAGGCTTCCTGAATGTATCTAACAATCATTAGGTAGGTTGTACAGAACCATTCATAAAAATATGATTTTCACATTAAACTCCAACTAGCAAAATAAACCACTTGGTCATTCTTTAAATCCAAACAATTTTAATTCACTAATTTATATTCAACTTTAATTTTGATGATTACAAAATAAAAAATATTTTATTTTTGTAAAGATTTTAATTAGTGTTTAGTGGTAATTAAGGGTAAATGATCTATATGCTTAATCTTTATTATCTTATCCAAAGTTCTAAGTTTCTTTAAATTTATTATCAGCATAAGTACTTGGTTTACCTCCAATTCCTTCTTGAATTTATCTTGGGTATTGAAAAGTTTTAATATGAATTTAGTTATGTTGTTATCACTTGGAGTTTACACTTGAAGCTTAAGAGTTTTGAAAGATATTTGATTTTAATCGTTAATCTGTATTTTCTCTATATCTATTAATATACAAATTCGTTTAATATAAAACTTCTTTCATTCCAAAATATACTTGCAAAGCTTTCCAAAAACATTTATTTCATTCAAAACATATTTTACATTAAATAGATATAAGTTTTTAAAGTTGGTTGTTAAAGCTTCAAATTTTTCAGAAAAATGTTATTATCCTATGTTCACTATTTTAATCATATCTCTCTTGTGTAAATCAGAATGTCACACATGATCAAAATACACAAATCTATTAAACTTTTTGACATTCCAAACTTTCAAAAAAAATGTTATTATCCTGTGCTCGCTATTTTAATCATATCTCTTTTGTGTAAACCAAAATGTCACACATGATCAAAATACTCTGTTAAACATTTTGAAATACTCTAGAAAAAAATTGTGCACTCAAAGTCTTTAAGCAACCTAACATGATATTATATTTATAGAACTCAAATATGAGTTTTATAATAACTTTTCCCAATCAAACTTATTTAATATTTCCAAAACATATGATGTGTTATTCAGTATTAGAAATAGAATCTCAACTAAATAAAAGATAATATTAATTATCCAAAACAATTAAGTTAGAATTTAAGATTTCAGATGGTTAGTTATTAGTTTAGCCATATCTAATATTAATGGTCAACTAAATATTTATTTATGTATTTAAGGTAAAATAACAAGATAGGGAAAATTAAGTATACGCCTTACCCGCGAATTATAAAAAATGCAGCCAAGTTTGTTGTAATTTGTAATGAGGGTGCAAATATTAAAAAAAAAACCAAATTAGCACAGAAAAAATGAGGTCTCTATGGGTCGTGGTTGAAGCAAGAAGAGGTTGGGGCGACGGAAAACCAAAGGAAGTCGGCCAAGCCATACGAATTATGCCTCCCTTCTTCTCCAAAATCTCCGAGGATCGAGGTATTGTAGCGTTTTATTTGGCAATCTTGTGTTTGTCCATTCGGTGTCTGATATTAATTTGTTAGGGCTGATCATTTTGTTTAGATCAGTTACGGGACTGGCCTTTGGATTATAACAATTTTTGCTATTCGACTAATTGCTGCATAAACAAATAGGATCAAGAGGCAAAGTAAGAACGAGCACCCTGACTGATGCCATGATTGTTGTCCAATGTGTTTGAACCTAGAAAAGAAACAATAAAAAGAGGAGGATGAAGAAGAGGATGACCAAAAGGCTGAAAAAGAGGAGGATGACCAAAGAGCATGGCTTTGTTGGAACAGGACGAACCAGAGACAAAGAACACAAAGAACTTAGCTTTAGCAAGCACGTAAGATATTGGTTAGTCCCATAAACATTTAACCAGTTTCATCCTCCCACATGGATCACCTTTTGGGAGCCCTTTTTCTTCTTTTTAAATTTTTGTAGTTTGAGGATGAACTTTGAAAACATAGAAACTTAATTATAGGAGTGAAAAGATAAAATTTAAAATATAGGGACTTATTGAGAATCAATGTAAAATATAGGGATTAAATGGTTAACTGTTTCCACATCAGAATGATCAACAATTTAATCATTTAAAGTATGTTCTCCTTATTAGTTGAACGTGTTTAGTATTTGAGTATTGGAAATATTATTAAAGCTAGTGTCTTGTAACTGAAACTTTAGGCATAATTCTTGGAATATCCTAAAAGACTGAAAGACAAATATTATTAATAGAGTTATTGTTACAGAACACAAAATGCCTAAAAGACACACCAAGGGATTTGGCTCAATTTTCTCCACCAATACACAGCAAGCCTGGTCATTGGGCTCCTTCACCTTGAATGGTTTAACAAATATACAGTATCATGCAACCAGATGGAGAAATAAAAAGACTAGTTTTGAACGGGACAAATTTCCAAATCCTAACTAAAAGAAGAACCATAGTGCTGAAGTGCCATAGAAACTGAGCTCCTAATCCCGTTGCTTGATAGATGATAAATGGTGTTTTATTCAGTTTTCATTCATAACTAAATAACCAGCCTAACCAGTTAACTACCCTCAAAATAAAAAAGATATCTTCAATCAATTGGACTGGCATAAAGCTGCTTAGTTCAACATAAAATAAAGCTTCTTCAATTTAGAATCAAATTCTATAAAATCAGCATCAAGGAGATGGATATAAACTATCAGAAAAGGATCAAACCCGCAGACAAAGGTACTGCAGATACATATTCATGAAATGGGTATTTTCGTCTCAGACCCAGTATGAAAGCACCCATTATCATCGGAAGAACCTTATGTTTTAACACACACATATATAACTCAATGCTTTGACTATTTGCACATTTGAATTTTTTCATGCATGACTGTACTATCAACTGTGCTCCAATGGATCACTCACCCACCTATTGCAACCAAATATCACAAACACAATTTAGAAATAAGTTAATGTGCTGGAATATGTTTGAAACATTTCTTTCTGATTCTCATATATAGCTTCAGCAATGTAGTACTCGATCATAATTCAACCATCTTTTTCACAATGAAGAGGTAAAGATCCATATAAACTAAATTGGTCAAGAGTTCACATAAGCATACAATAAATGTTCCCAGCTTGTCTAATAAAGGTTATGTTTGTCGGGTCGAACTAAAAGACGCCTCACAAGAAATGTCAAATGCATAATACTATAAAGAAGTTCGACTTTTAGGCATCCAAACATGATTATGGGTACCAATACCACAGAACATAAGGTAGTAAAAATCCACCTTTTGCTATCGAAGTATATAATGTAGAAGCCACTGCAATATGCCAACATCATGAATGATATGGCTAAGCAAAGAGTCAGCAATCCAGTCATCAGCTTTCTAGGTAGAGATTTGTGAAAATCATGTTCCTCATATCTTGAAGTGAGGACAGACAAAAAAGCCACAAATGATATTAAACTTGAGACCAATGCAAGAGCATTAGATATTGCAAATGTAAGACTTGTTGGATTACTTGCATACTCTGTTATGTCGAATGCAATCGAGAACATTCCACTCGCAATGAGTGATGAAACCAGCATACAAGAACTTGCAGTGAATTTCATCCAATCCGCTGCATGTTGTCGTAATTTAGCATGCTCTCTACTGAATAATTGTTGAGGAGTTAGGCCTTCCAAATTTCTCTTCTCAATATGTGAGGGCAACATAATCTTCTTCACCTCCTGCCATATTAAAATGTTATTTAGAAAACATTAATGCATAGATATAAATTAAAGCAAATACATATATCTAATATTGAAGATTTTGTGATTTCAAATTGCTTGAATCCACATTTTTGAAAAGGATGCTAGAAAATCTAAAATTAATCACCGAAAGCACATAAGGGCAAACTACCTCAAACCATACTAGCTCACATATCATTTCAAATGCTGCGCTTGTCACCAACTCAAATCTATTTGATGGTGTTACTTTTGCGGCAAGATGCAATATGTTATTCCCATCTTCTATATCGGTAAGTGTCAATATGACATCTTTGATTGGACCAATGTCATGATAAGGTTCATGATTTTTGGATGTCGATATAGCACTGCGATATGAATTATCGTTCTATTTCTATTGTCCACCTCCCAAATCAAATCTGGATACTTCTTCAAGAGCACAACTAAAAACTCAAAATTTCCAACTTCAGCAGCACCAAACAATGGTCCTTTGATTATTTCTTGTATATCTACCCCAGAGTCAACAGTATGCAGAATCAAATTCCACAGCTTACCAACCAATTGAAGAGCTTTAGTCTGCTTCATACCTGAATCATACATATAATTAAACAAAAAGAAACCAAAAGCTGAATAAGAAAAAAATACAGCACCCAAGTTCATTCCCTTCATCAATTATTGAGTCAATAAATTAAATTGGTAATTACAAAATTTTAGCTACTGCAATTAGCATTACACTGTAGATAAAGTAAAAATATTAAATGCTTAAAAATATTACCACTAAAACTTGAAGTCTTCTTAGCTAAGACATGCAAGCCTGTCTCATCCTTTTCATCTTTTGCAAGAGCTAAACCTTCCATATTATTTAATAAATCCAATGCTATACCTATAAATTTTTTAAAATTGTCAGAAATCAGAATTGATAATACCAAAAAAAAAAAGTTATCAGTATAATATGAAATATAGAGATATATAAATGGATATCAACATCAAAGACTTAAAAAATAAACTGTCCACTTGAAATTGAAAATTATGTCATGCTTGCATTAAAATAAAAATGTCATATTACACTACCATTCAATTTTATTTTTTTCAGCTTCGTAGCTTTTTTTAAAATATTAAAAATATATTACATAACATTTACCAAAAATGAGTACATCACCAATAGTCTTTAAAAATCACAATAGTCTTTAAAAAAGACAATTAATATTACCTTATATTCTTTTTCTAATTGTCATGATTATCTTTTAAAAAATTAAATAAATAAATTGAAATTTTAAATAATATCATTTAAATAAGATACACGACACAATTTTGATAGAATATAAATATAATTATGAATTTAACGCACAACAATTCATGTGTTAAGGATAATAAACTTACCAACGATATCATTTTGAATGCAGATGAAGAATAACTTCCTCCGATCGACATCTTCAAGTGTTTGTTTAGTCTTGTTATATAGATATGATGTCATTTGACGTTTTCCTTGTATAGCCGCAATATGAAGAGGAGTCAAACCTTCTCTATTTCTAATTCCAGGCAGGGAAGGAGTTTTTTGCAACATAATCTCAACCATCTTTATGTTTCCTACTCCAGCAGCTAAGCAAAGGGCAGTGTTTCCCTCAGAATCTTGTAATGCTAAATCATCTTCATTCAAATAATTTAAGAGTTGCTTTACAAAATGAAAATGATTAGCTCCTGCTGCCAGATGCAACATTGTTGGGTGTCCTTTGGCAATGCCGGCATTTACCAACATCCTTTGATGCAACAAAAAGGGCTGTGCATTTTCCCAATCTCCTTCAATGCATACTTCATCAAGGGCACACAAGTTTTGAGGTATATCTTTCTTGCATCCCCTAAAACAAAGTTAAACATTTTAGCTTTTGATGTAAGAAGGAAAAAGATTTAATCTATCTTATATATTAAATTAAAGGGTTAAGGGTCATTTTGATCCATGAACTATACATGAAAGTTTACAAAATGATTATAAACTTAATTAAGGGTTAATTTTATCCTTAATTAGCCTCAAAATCTTACTTCCTCCGTGCCCCTGTTGTTAATTATTTGTTAGTGGGGCCTGATCCATATTTGTTTATTATTTTTTTACACCTTGCCCCTCTCTCTCTCATCCACCTCTCTTCTCTCTCTCCTCCTCCTCACTCTCTCCCTCTCTCCTCTCTTCCCCACTCTCTCAACGTCACAATATGAGCTCCAGTTCGTAGTTCCCTTCACCAGCGCCGTCCTCAACATCATCAGCTACTTCCTCCATCATGCTCACGCTCTCACTGTCGTCATCAGCTAAGCTAAACCCGAGCTCTTGTTTGTTGATTGTGCCTCAAGCAAGCAGGTCCTCGATGCCATGTCCATGATTCCTCTATATGTACAAGGGGCGATAAGAGTTTCCCTCCACCATTAAGATTTCTCTATGCCTTCGACCCCCCTCTCTCTTCAAAGTGCATCTACAGAATGCTTGTCCTCTACCCATCACCACCCTCAAGCTCTCTCTCCATGCTTCACCAGAGTGCATCTATCACCAACAACAACATCATCTACATGAGGACGTAGAAAGCTTGTCCCTGCCATGCAACTAAACCTGGGATGCATAAGGCGTCCCTATATCAAGAGGCTTGACTCGTGGGTTTCTGGGCATGAGAGAGAGAGAGGGAGGGAGAGACAAGTTAGAAGATGAAGGAGAAGAATTCGAAGGAGACGAGTTCGGAGGAGACAAGCTTGGTTCAAGCTTGACTCATCAGTGTTCAACCCACTTGAAGCAAAATAAAGCAGAAGAAGCAAACTAGAAATAAAGTTCTCGATCCTCTCTAGTCTCTATCAATCTATCAGCCAAATCATCATGAACCCAATGAGGTCATCACTCCTAACAGAGTCGAGCGAACCTTATTAGCCCTCTCCTCTCTCGCCTCTTTCTCCTCCCTCACATTCTCTCGCTCCCCACCACCCAAGTTGCTTGCTTCAGAACCAGAGCAAGAAAGTTTCGAGGACGACAAGTATGGCACTGTGTGGGCGGTTTAGGGTTGTGTTTGAGCTTAGGTGGGGCCATGGTTCCGACACTCATCATCACCGTCAACAGCTTCTGTCTTCTCGACACTCCGAACTCCATGATCCACTGCGAAGATCACGAAGGAGCAAGGGCGAGTCTTGAGAAGATGTATGCATGCATGAAAGAGGAGGAGAGAGAGAACTCCGCCACCATCAACCCCTCCTCTTGATGTCCATCTGTGATGCCTCTCAAAAGGAGTCATAGTCGGAGTTTTCGTCGAACGGGATGATGAAGTTGTGGAGACGAAGGTAGCCTCCGGTACCCATAGTTGCAAGATTCAAGCTTAGGTAGGAGAAGTAGGAGCAATAGAAGGTGGCTAGCTAGTTTATCTATCTGCCTAGTGCAAGGAGGCGCCAGTACTATCTTCGTTATTGTTGTAATCAGTGGAAGCACCAGCAGGGCCCGAAGAGGCTGAGGAAGGACCAACAAGTGCACCGTTGCTGGCTCCCGAAGCAGTGTAAGGCAGCAACAAAGGAAACGAGTTAAATTAACTTGGTGTTGCTCACCCTGGTTTAGTCTGGTTTGGCGGTGCTAGAGGAAGACAAAGAAGAGGGAGAGGGAGAGGGAGGAGACAGAAAAATATTTTTTATATATAAAAATGTTAAAAATAAATTATAGGACCCACTATTAAATATTTTATAATAAAAAATATTAAAAAATTCTAATGTCAGGGTACAAGATCAATTTTCTAAAGTTGAGAGACAAAATTAACTTCATATTGAATTTAAGATTATTTGTACACTTTTATTTATAGGAATAAAAATAATTTTTAACCCAAAATCAAAAGCACTTTATTACTTTATGATTTTTTTCCCATAATATAGAACACAAACAATTTTTCTTTTGAAAGACTAACGTACTTAATATTATTATGGAAAACCAAGTATATTTTTAAAATTTACAGTAAGAATTTAAAGAAGACGCGTTTTAGCAAAATCTTTAACAAATTAGGCGAGCGTGTGACTGTGTGAGAAATAAGATCCCATATTCTTCCCTCTTTTGTTTCCACTACTAAGCAGATAGATGTTCATTGCCATATAAACTCAAAGAATATAGTGAATAAATAAATAAAGACTTCTGTATATATAGCAATACAATACAAGATTCCAGAACACGCAAACTTTAAACTTGGAAATTAAAATTTAAGTAAAATTTATGTGCAATCACAAAATAATACGAGACGTATAAGTTATTTGAAATTGTGGAGAAAGGGAAGGGTTACTTGTATCTTCCAAAAGAAGAGAGGAAGGCATCCGCAATGCTTGTGAAACGTGCCTCTGGCTCTGCTCCTGAGTTTGTGGAGAATTTGTCGGACCCAAAATTGAACTTGCTTCCATTACAATGAGAATAGCAACCTCCTCTTGCTTGTATTTGCTGCGAAAACATGAATATTAAACATCTGTATTGATTTAATATTATTGGAACTGATTTAATGAGCAAAGGGATCTATGTAATATCAGTTTCAAAGAAATTAAACTCTGTTCAAGCTAACATGTGGAGTAAGAGGACTTGCTAAGTACAAAAGAGACTCTGCGTGCTCATGGGCACTACAGACCAGTGCAGGAAATTCGGGAATTGGAACTACTTTTTGAACATCACAAGCACGTATACTGATGATCAAGAATATGATATATATTCACTTTAATTTGCCATGCAGGACCATATTCCTGAAAGCAAATTTATTGTGATGACCGAAAATCATTCCTCTATAAAATCCAAATAAAGCATTTGGATACAATCTAAGCTCAAGAGCGTTATTTCACAGCTTATATTCATAAACTCAAGGCAAAAAGAAAGTCAACATCAAGTTTGTTGTAAACTGCAGCCTAATTTATACTGGAGAAAAAACAACCACCTAATAATATCGACATCCTATCACCATCAAACACCATCAAACAACAAGGGTGTGGATGATCATAGATATATAAAACAAAAAAAAAAAAAAAACCAACAACAACATAAACATGGAGTCATGGACACGAGCCATACTTGTATACCTATATGCTCAATCTATAGTTTTCCTACAAGCAGAGTTACAAGAAAAGACCGAATCCTATACGAGAAGCGACTTGGCTGCCTCAATAACTCGTGTGAATGGATGGTTATCCTTCAAATGACCACTTAATGATATTAAAAGGTTCAGCACAATCAGTATAAACCTCAGCTATTCTAAATAGCAAGATAATCTGTATGCAGCAGATAACAATTTCAAACAACAGTGGACAGCAAGATGCAAGAAAATTTTTGAAGGAACCGCCCCATCAGCACGTGGAACTCTCCATATATGCTGGGCGAAGTTTGATGGAGGACACAATCAATCAATGGAAGATTCAAGAACAGAATGTTTCTACCAGTTAGCGCTAACGACTCCCCCAACACCAGATTGCACAAGAATCGATGCCGATGTTTCAGGAGGTTCCTGGATTTTCAGAAGAGTTACGTTTAGGGCCAACGACTACTATTGCTGCAGAGATACAATCTATTATTCCAAGAATAGCGCTTACTGCAAGAGCTGAAAAGAAAGGTTTCAGAGTCACTCGGCTTGAGTAAGAGCTCGGAAGTGGAAAATAATAATAATAATAATAATACAGAAAGAAAGAGCAATGGAAGAAAGATAACATGAAGAGAGCATAGGGAAGGGAGGAAGAAGAGGAAGAAGTCGTACAGAAAATCTCCCGCAATGGCAGACACTGCCCTCACTCTCCTGCTGCAACGCATAACCGCTTTTTTCTGTCATCTCTTATCTGACATCCTGTGCATCCGCCACCTCCCTCATGGCGCTCTGTTCACACCCTCTGATTAGTAGCTACTAATTATGTGTTAAAAGCATGTAATCAGAATTCAAGCAGGCGGGATGGGAATAGGCTAAGGCTTTGGACATTTGTTTTCTGTTTTTCAAAATAAAAAAAATTCAAAAACGTGTTTAGATTTTATTATTTTTAAAAATAAAAAATATAAACATTTCAAAACTATTTTCATTTATTTTTATTTTCATTTCAAAACCATTATGATTAACCATAGATAACCATCACCAGTGACCATTTGTTTAACTCTAAAATTATTTTCAAATTAATATCTTCAAACAAATTTTAATTTTTTTATTCAGTTTTTTTTCACTCTTGTTTTTCTGTTGTTGGGTCTTGCTTGTGTTCTAAAAGTTCAAAATATACTTTTTCTTATATTTTGATCGCTGCAAATAAAAACTTCAAATCTATATGTATTTTGAAATTAAATTAATTTATTTAAGCTTTACATTAAATTTTAGAATATTGTCTTATTCCTACATTGCACCGAGTGCTTTACTAGTTTATATATAAAAGTAGGATAATAAGTTACGAGTGAATGTTACATGTCTTTCTTAGCTATCACAAATTGTGATACATGTTCTTTTTGAGTATTCCAAATTATGCAACACATTCAATTTTGAAAATAATTTAATATATAAAATATAATA